GGGGGTCTGAGGAAGACAGAGAGAAGGTCACCGTGAGGAGGAGGTCTCCGTGGAGGAGTTAATGGAGCAAAGGTGGCCGGGGTGAGACTAGAGGACAGGTAACAGGGCAAATGTCTGGGCCAGACTAACATAGTCTAGTTAGAATAGATCAATAACTGCCCAGTTATGGTGCTTGAAGCTTATTGCTAAATGTAAGTAACAGGTTTCCGTCTCATTCATTATATGGGAGCTAGAGCTGGCATAGAAAAGAACCTTCAATCCCAACATACCTACCTACCTACCTACATACATACCTACCTACCTACAATCATACATGTGTGTATAAAGACACTTTCAGGCTCGGATCTTCTTTGTGCATACTCCATCTATAATTTCTTTGTAAAATGTGTGTGACCACATGATTAAAATTAAAGTGTGTCTTCAATGCATTTTGTAAATAAATTCCTTCAGGTTAACTGGGGACTGACTCATCCTAAATTAAATATTGCCTCACAAGGCGGTGGTAGGCGCTACAATGCTAGCACTCAGGGAGTGAGGGTAGGAGGATCAGAAGTTCACAGCCAGTCTGAGCTGCACCAAAACTGGCCTAAAGAGAAGAGAACGAAAGGAAGGGAGGAAGGAAGAGTTAATCAGCTGGAACGTCATTGGTGGAACATACTTGGCAAAAGCCTGGCGTGTACCTGGTGTGCGTGTAGGATGTGCTTAGTGTGTGTGCAGCGTGCACGAGGCACTAGTTGTGATTTTCAGCACCACGAAAGGCAAGGCACATGTATTGCCTCAGCACCCCCCAGCAGTGTTTCTACAACATACAGCAGCTCTGCTAAAATAGAAGGCCACATGCTATTGCATTTGGCAGCTTCAGTAATTGGATTTTCACTGAAAACAATCTCTGAGTATTGGACAACTCGAGAGGTGAAGCATCTGTCCCTTTCCTCGAAGGAGAATTGCTGCAGCACTCCAGAAGCAGATCTGAAGGTCCGTGATCCAGAACCTCAACATAAAGCTCAACATTGTCAGTATCCTCTGAGACAGGACAGAGAGCCACAGAAAATTGTGGGGACGCAGGAAAAGAAGCCCCTCACCCAGGCTTCCGGAGAGAAGCCTCTCGCCTGCTGAGAATCAGGAAATGACACACAAAAACAATGTTTGCTTACAGCCTTTCTTCTTTTCTGCCGGAAGGCTATGTAATCTTCTGGCGAAATGTCACCTGAGACCATATTAATGGTGAAAGCACACGCCCTAAATGCCTTCTGCAATCCTGGTGCCTCCTGCTTTTACCTTATCTGATAGCCGTATTAATCCCATCCATGGTACCTCAGGAGACACACTAATCTCATTTCTCAAAAAGGGGGTGGGGTGGACTTTCTTCCAACCCTTTGAAGTATAACTTGAGAGCCACCCAAATGAATATGCGGCTGACAATTCTCTGAGAAGACTCATTCTCTCACAGATCCAACTTTCTTCCTGCGAGTCTTTCTATTAACCCTCATTCTTAAAACCCATGTCAAGAACTGCTTTGAAGACTCTCCAGCTCTACTTCATAGTGGTTCACCCCAAAATTCTTTTCTGCACCCAGTGCTCCCAGCTCCTCTCCTCCCTGCAGTAGCTGCTCCTGCCATCACCACCTCCGAGAAAATGGTTGTGTCTCCCACGGATGCTGATCTTCGAAAGTCCGCCAGGAATGTCTTCACCAAGTGCTTCAGCTTTGGCTTAATAAAACCTGATTTGAAAACAAATTCCGAAAATGGATTGGAGTTTTCCAGCTCAGGTCCACCATACAGAGACCACCCAAGTGTCAGTCAAGGACAGGTGGACCAGGTACGGGCTGACGTTTACAGGGAAGTAGACACGGACAATACCTTGGGCACCAAGATCACCGTGGAGAACCAGCTTGCATGTGCACTGAAGCTGACCTTTGACTCATCCTTCTTGCCTAACACTGGGGGGGAAATGCTGAAATCAAGACAAGGTGAAAGAGGGAACGTAGCAACGTAGGCTGTGGCGTGGACTTTGACCTCATTTGGCCTGCGGGGGTCTATGAGGGCTGGCTGGCCGGCTACCAGATGAATTTTGAGACTGTGAGGTCCCAAGTGACACGGAGTAACTTGGCAGTTGGCTGCAAGATGGACAAATTCCAGCTTCATACTAATGTGAACAACGGGACAGAGTTTGGTGGCTCCATTTGCCAGAAGGTGAACAAGGAGCTGGAGTCGGCTCTCTGTCTCCCCTGGACAGCAGGAAACAGTAACACTGTCTTTGGAATAGCGGCCAAGTATCAGGTCGACTCTGATGCCAGCTTTTCGGCCAAAAACTCTGGCCTGGTTGGCTTAGGGTACACTAAGACCCTGAAGCCAGGCATCAAACTGACCCTGTCAGCTCTGCTGAATGGCAAGAACGTCAATGCAGTGGCCACAAACTTAGCTCAGGACTGGAATTTCAAGCATAAATATTGTACAGTTGTTAATTTTAAACTATTTTGCAGCATAGCTACCTTCAAAATTTAGTGCACCTTTACACGTTCTATGCTGGGGATGGGAGGACTGACAAATCCCACGTTAGACCTCCAGGCTAATGATGACTCGCTGTTAAGATGTTTAACCCCATCCCAGACAGGGTCCTTCAGCTGTGGGTGTGGGTTGGAGGAGCCCCTCTAGGGTGCCAGGCTGCGAGTGCAAGCTGGGAGTGTGCGGGCCCTTTGTAAGTCTGTCCCCAGTCCCCAGACGAAACTGAGACTTCCTGAGCACCGAACCCTGGTGTCCCGATGCTAACTGCTGGGAAGCATGTGCACACCTGTGTGAAAGGAACTCTGTAGACAGATGCGTGCCCTGTCCCCACCCCAGCCCATCAGTTACCTGGTTTACAGCTAAAGGAGTCTTCAGGGAGTGGTTTCCCATTTCTTTTGTGCCTCGTTAGGGTGGAGAGTGTGGGCATGATGGAGCCAGTCACTCAGGCCTTAGTTCTCCCTTGTGTTGTGCTGTGGTTTTCTTTTCTTTCTTAATTCATTGTTTGCTTTTTTTGTTTGTTTGTTTGTTTGTTTGTTTGTTTGATGCCGTTGTACCAGTGTGAAATAGCATCTGTTTTTTCCAGCTCTGTGTTGGTGGTAATTGTAGTCACACCTGACAAGAGGGCTGTAAACTGCCTTCTGTTAGAGCCTCACTGCTCTATAATTTTTTAAGCAGTTTAATGAGTACATTATAGAGTGTTCCATTTTGTGTGGAATTAGCTCCTCCCCTTCAAATGCTGTAATTAACATCACTTAAAATAAAACTTGAATATTGAAACCTCAAAAAAAAAAAATCTTTTCTGCAGCAAAGCCAAGGATCCTGTTTTTGCCTGAGTTGGGGGTCCCCAAAAGATTAAAGGAGATCCCCACATTTGTAGGGGGAAAAATGCAGGCACGATCTGGCTGCCAGCCTTCCTGGCATACTGTGCTTCTAAGAAGCATGGCACCCTCTGCTCTGGAGTATTCCCAGAAGTCAGAACACAGGTAGCCTGCACTCCCCACGTCTTTTTCCATGCTTCTTCCTCATAGACACCCCATCCTGGTGGCATGAGAGCTCAGTGCTAACCAATCACAGTAAAAAGGCTTCCAGGATCTATAAGGGGTTGCTCAATGGTGGTATGAGAGCTCGGTGCTAACCAATCACAGTCAATAGGCTTCCACGCTCTAAGGGGTTGCTGTGTGTGCAATAAACAGCCACTGTTCCCTGAAGCTGTCTCTGGAGCGGCTCATCTCCATGCCCTTTGTTCACAAAGGGGCATTGCCATCCTAAACAGAGCTACAAAGATACCAAGGAAGGGGAGAGAAAGCCATGTGGACCTTAGTGTCTCCAAGGCTATGTGGATAGTTATGTCAAGAAAGATGGGGCAGAGACTGGAGGCCCAGACACTAACGTCTGACTCTAAAAGAACCTTAAAGCAGTTTGGGGAAAGCTAAGGCAAGTTAGAAGCACACAGGAATTAATCATTATAAATTGGGGGACCATGAGAAATGTGTGTTTTGTGTAACTCTTTACTTCTTACCCATCAGTAATTCAGTCTGAGGTAAATAAAAGTAAAATGTCGGGGTGAAATTGCTTTAAGTCACCCTATGTTTTTATATATTATTTACATAATAAAATTTAAAAAAACAAATATTAAAAGTACTTACTTCTGGGTCATACAGTTCAGTCACTAGTAATTTTCTTTTCTCCTAACTCTGTTTTCTTAAGTTTTCCATGATGAGTCAAGGGTGGGAGCTGAGATGTGTTTAGAAAGTCAGACCAGAGAAATGAATTACTCATACACAGGTAATTGCTGCACTGATTGTATTAATCTGGAGACAGTCTCTGAAGGGGCAATTTACCTTTAGATCTATCAACTGAGTGATTGTGGGTGTTCCTAACGGCCTTAAACTGGATGAGGGCACCCTTCCACTGTCCCACAATAATCCACATACAGCTTTCTGTCTACACTGCCCAGAATGAAGGAGCTCACTTGAATAATCAAGGGTTTTTGTTTGTTTGTTTGCTGTAGGCTACGGAGTCATTCTCGGTAGAGTACGGTGCAACTGGTGAGGGCTGAGCCACTCTCCTGGGGAGAACACTGTGGAGACCCTGAGTAAGAGGACACACTCTGGCACAGAGCAGGAAAAAAGCCATGGAAACCCTCTGTATCTCACTTTTGGCTTTGTCCTAAGGAGAGCAGACCCCTTCTGTTTCCTGCCCCTGGCCATTTCCTTCCTCAACAGCATCCACACAGGAGCAGTGGCTGTCCCAGGAGGCTGCAGCCCCCTGAGACCTCTGTGTGCCAGTACCAGCAAGAGGCTGGAGTCAGTAAACACTCCAACCATACATCAGAGAAACTGTCAAAAGACAACGCATTAGCGTTGAGCTGTGTGCTCTATCACCTTACTGGAGGAAGGAAGCCTTCATGGAGGGTATTTTAGCTAAGCAGAACTAAAAAAAAAAAAAAAAAAAAAAAATCAATTTAGGTGACTGAAAAAGAAATGTTCACAAGAATAAAGTTATAACACTTTAATCATTTAAATAGAAACAACCTCAGCAATATACATACACATACAGAAAATCCAAACCATGTAATTGAACAGTATATTTAAATACACCAAATTCTTTTTAAAAATCCCCCAAATGGACTTGGTGTCATGGATGTAAAAAGGTAATTTTGAAGCACTCTACAGACCAGAGTGAAGCAGACAAGGTTGTTTGCAGACACTGAGGAGAACGATAGCCTTTGTCTAGAGAATGATCCAACAGCCATTCAGACAAATGATCGCCCAAGAAAGACCAAGGTGCATCTAACCATTTCTTTGGTCCTCTAAGTCAAGTCACACTGGTTTGTTTTATTTACTTTAAAATACCAAACATGAGTTAAGTACTTGGCATCCTACCTAGAAATGGTGAAATAGCAATTGGGCTAACATTGCTATCAGGTCGCATCCCAAAGGGAACTCAAAATCAACCTGACTATACTTTGGAGACTCTGAATATAGACAGTACTAGGGAAGAGTAGAGATAAAAAAACAGCTCTTGCTTCACCATGATGAGTATCGAAGAGGCAGTGATACAGTTAAAGAGGAATGCATTTACGGAGCACTCTACCAGCCAGTGAGAGAACCCTTCCTGGAATAGCTATGCTCGTGTTTGTGCAGGAGAGCAAGAATCGCTGTGACTTAACCAGCCCTCACTGCCCCAGAGAGAATATTTAAAGTGGTAACAAGCCACCCATTCTGGACAGCTACTGTGTACTGGACACACCCGAGACAGGACACACCCAGGAAGGGATCTAGACCCAAATCCCTGGTGTATCTTCACAGACACTGACAGCACAGCTCGCGTGCAAACCTCCCTCTGCCCATTCTAGCTCCTTCCAGTTCAGAGGGGCTGGGAGTCTGCACAGCTGGAAAGACAGGCAGTTTCAAAAGATCCTGAAAATAATTAGAAAAATACTTCATAAGAGTTTTGAAAATGCTTTGAAACATCTCCTTGGAATAGACAAAGTAAACTCCCAAGAACTTCTAACAGAAAATCAGCGACGTGCAGAGTTGGCACTTAAGTAATGGCTTTCTTCAAAGATGGCAAAAGTAGCTACACTCAAATGGCATGATAGTCATCAAGGCACAGAGTCAACCTTCTACCTCCATGTATGAGAATAAACTCATGAATAAATTGAGAAAAAACTCAAACATCTCCAGGAAGCCAATCCCTCTACTCAGATTGTAAAACACAGAAGGTGAAAATGCGCCTTTTTAACTCACACCATTAAAGACAGATATCCCATCAGCCTCCCTCATAGAGTGGCACTATAGCTGGACAGTTAATAAATATGTCAAGAATAAAATGTCCCGTTCACAAACACGATCAACGCGGGAATGCTGTCTGTGGATCTACTGCTCTCCGCACATCCACTGTCTCCACGCTTCCTTCAGCGTTACGCTCTGTCCACTGGAGGCAGGAGAAGCACAGTGCCCTCTGCTAATGAGTCAACAATGACCTCAAACAAACGCATGAGTTTTCCTCCTTCCCAGCATCCTCGGGGAATCTGAGCAGCAGTCGTGTTTGTAACCAGCAGACACATTTAACTCTTGGCGTTTCACTTTGACCTCACCACTAAGAAGGTGGCGAGAAGAAAGCAGGCTCATCCTTTAGTTGATTACTTTTATTTGACATATCTATAAATAATTATTAAATACGATTCATGGTGAGAAATGAAGTTCACATGCAGAGCAGTTGAAACTGGAAGAGAATGGCGGTGGCAGCAAGGCCTGCAAACCAGGCAGAAGCTCAGCTCCGGATGAGCGTGAGGAACTCCTCCCGGGTCTTTGGGTCTTCCCGGAACACGCCCAGCATGGTGCTGGTGACAGTCTTGCTGTTCATCTTCTGCACGCCTCGCATTACCATACACATGTGTCTGTAAAACAAGACGACAGAGCTGGCTTAAAGGCAGAAGACAGGGCTGGCTTATTCCCAGTTAAACCCAAAGCAGGGCAAAGACTAATCCTGGTTCAGGGTCACCAAAGCATGTCAACCTTCCTTTTCAAACATTAAGCTTTCTCTTTCTTCCTGGGTGAAGAAGCTTTGTTTTTTTTGTTTTTTTTTTCAAATTTCAAGCAAGCTTTATTAAATACTTATTACTGGCCAAGAGGTAGACTTTGGTCAGGACCCCTCTCTGGAATCTCTCAGCTGAATAGCTGCCATCTAAGTCCTAAATTAAAAGCAACTCAGAGCATGCTTGACCCACGCTCAGGACCAGGGTGGTACTGTGCCAAGAAAGTGTCCAGAGAGAGACTCCAGGACACCGATCTTGCCAGCAGAATGCAGGTAGAGGAGTCAGTGAGTCTAAGCAGCACGGTAAAGGCAGGCAGCACAGGCTGGGCTGAGCTGGGGGCTGTCCGTGTGGAGAGAGCTGTCTACACGACATGTGATTCCCACAGCTCACGCTAACGTCAGGCTGCACGAAGAGCACCAGGTGAAGGCAGACACAGGCTCTCACTCTGATGCGGGATATAAGTCACTCAGGACAGAACAGCGCTTCCCAGAGGCCAAAAGCACCAAACAGCATTGCCAGTTTGTCCTTTGTACCAACCATTCCTTCCTTTTTTCTATTTAGCAAATGTGCACTCACAAAAAAGCTAAGGAAACAGACCAGACACAAGAGTGCTGACTACACACACAGAATTCTGCATGTGACTCCCAGAACTCCAAGGTTCCCACAGGAGGGAAAAACAGAAACTAGAGGCTGGAGAGATGGCTCGGTAGTTAGAACACCAAATGACCGAATTTGGTTCCCAGGACCCATTTCAGCAGGCTCACAACTGCCTGTAACTACCTCCGGCCTCCACAAACATCACCGGCCCAAAGATGCGGCAGGATTCCACTAAGATTAGAAACCAAACAAAAATCTTTTCTATGCCCTGGCTCCTCCGGCAGCACCACAGTGAGGAAGGAGAAAAGCAGCTGGAGCCGTGGCTTGGGCCACCCTCAGCACGGGATGCAGCTACCTGCTCCCAGAGGGGCTGAGGCACTAAAGGGGGAGGTCAGAGGCCTCGGTACCACTGGGACGTCATCAAAAGTGGGCTCGGACTTACGTGGCTTCGATGACTACCCCAACACCAGCAGGCTGCAGGGCTTCTGTGATGGCCACCGCGATTTGTTTGGTGAGGCGCTCCTGAACTGTGGGTGTGACAGAGGGAGCTTTAAAAGCCAGACACAAACAGCTAGAAGATTATTTTTCCCTCTGGAATCTTTGTGATCTTGCAAAGCAGACTTCTGTGAGATTTAACATCCAAGACATGCCAGCTTTCCCTGAGATTATTCTATCTTCTAAGTAAATCTCAAAGAAGTCCCTAGTCAGTTTCCTCACAGGCACTACAGGCCCTGAAGGAAGCCTGGCCCTCCTGCACCTCTGCGGGGAAGGGACCAGAACAGCAAGTGTCTCTTCTGCGTGCACCAAGAACTGATCCCAGCTCATAAGCATCTCCAGGGGGGAGTGAAGAATTACCTTGCAGGCAGGCTATTAGCACAGAAAGTAACCGCTGAGATGCTGAAAATCAATACAGGAACCTGAGTAACTCAGTTTCTTGTTTGTTTTGTTTTCTGAGACAGGGCCTCTCTATGTATCCCTGGCTGTCCTGGAACTCACTCTGTAGACCAGGCTGGCCCTGAACTCGGAGACCCACCTCCTGAGTGCGGAAATTAAAGGTGGGCACCACCACTGCCTGGCTAATAATTCAGTCTGACAAAAACAACTTGTCTTTGAACACATACAAAGGTGTTCTCAGAATCGTGCCAAAGCTGGAAAGCTGACAAAATCCCCAAATGCCGAGCAGAGCAGAGACTGGCTGGAGGATTAGCTCGCACAATGGAATTTGAAACAGCCACAGAAGTGAAGGACATGGTTAGGGGTGTGAGGTGTGGAGGTTGTTTAAGATGTGTTAGGTGAAAAGGAAATGGGGAGAGGCATGAGGCCAATCACATATGAGCCCACTTCCGTTTTGTGTGAAGGATCTGACTGAAAGTGTTGACACACGTGGACATATGAAAGCACATAGGGGCTTCCTCTACAGGTTTAAAACACATGTGTCCAGTACCTCCCTCAGAGGGCTCCATTTCTGCACCGTATTTACTACATTTGTAACAGGATAAAACTATTTGTTCTCTAAGGGAAATGTCTTTTGTAAACAAAGGTCGTAAAAGTGTTTACCTTGTAGTCTTCTGCTATAGATCTCTACAATCCTAGAAAAGAAATAATACTATGGTTAGTCACATGTTTGAAATGAGTTCATTTCAAAGCTTCCCCATGAGACAAGGAAGACTTGGGGCAGTGATGGGATGTGAGCAAGGAAGATGGCTTTTGGGAAGCAGCAGGAGGTGTGTTCTAGCAGACACCTCAGCTCTGCTCCCTGTGTCTTTAAAGGAAGATGGAGAAGTAATAAGGCCACTTAGGAAAAACACAGTCATGGGGAGTAACAAACCTTGATGCTCCCCAGTCAATTTCAGGCTAAGACTCAAGCATTCCAATTAATCATTGTTTTATCAGAGCTTAAAGTCCAAGTTAAAAATAAAAAAAGGCTGTTTGTTAATTAATAGTAGGTCGACTACTGAACCAGCTAAATCTATTAGCGTAATCAGATTAGAGCAGATAAGATTTCTTAGGCTTTTCTTTACGAAAGGTTTATAAGTATTTCACAGGATTAATGCTCTCCCAAATAAGAGGCTCCTGGCCTTACAATGAAACCTACCAGGTGGTAGTGTGGATGGCCCATGTGAGGGTGGCAATTGGCACTACACAATTTTAGAAAACATTACTGTTTGCTCACGATTTGGATTCCATTTAAGAGTCACTAATTGGATGTTTTATGACACACACACAGCTGTACACCTTTCTGGCAAGTGGCTTCTTTTCAGTTACAAGGACACACCACCCAGTCTGGGGATTCCCTCCTGGCAGAAGTTATCCTATTTCTTGGACCCAGTAGTTATAAAATGTAGAAGAAGAAGTATGATACTGTTTTATTTGAGCAAAACAAATGTGTTTTGTTGTTTTTTTTTTAAGACCAGAAATAGGAGCTACTGGGCTGAATTTTTGTATTCATTACTTCTGCCAAGTTTTTAACTTTTAAATTTTTTTTTTACAGAGATGCTGGATTTCTAAAAGAAAGCTTGGCAGAATATTTAGAGACTGTGGACTGAGCCACCTCTCCGGCACCATGGCCCACACTGCCCACCTCGAGCCTTCTGAAGGCCACCCAGGTGGCATGCACTCTGACCAGGGTGTGGTGTGCATGTCCTTGTAGGTGCTTCTTCCTGCTCTTGTGAATCATTCACTGCACCTCGGTGTGGATGATTGGTGATTTTAGTGTATAGAGCATTTATATGGGAATGGGCCTCACTGGCTCTGAAAACAGCTTGGCAAATAACACGTTGGAACAGATTTTTCTGCATTCAGAATTTGTGCGACTGTATTTGTAGATAAGCTCAATCTGTCACTATTTTCCAGTCTTCACAGCCTATGCTATCAGGAGTAGGCACTTCACTCAAGCAGCTTTTCAGGTTCTTCTATGAATTTGCCTTGGGTTTTCTTAACAAAGCCTCTATGTAACCCAGACTGCCCTGGAACTCACTATGTAAACCAGGCTGGCCTTGAACTCAGGGATCATCCAGCCTGAGTGTACCACCATGCCCAGCTCTTCTATAACTTTATAATAATACATCAAAAATTAGTGATCGTTTTGGTTAGTCAATGAAGAGTAGTGACAAAACTGATCAGCTCTGACCCTCCCACCCCGACACTAACCCTTGTGGCCACTTACACAGGCAGTTTTCCCAGCATTCTGACCTCATCTGTGAAAACTGATCCATAATGGCTTTTAAACTTTTGCTAAACACGGTGACTGACCCCTGCAACTCAGGCACCCAGGAGTCTGATGTGAGAGGTCCACCATGAGTTCTAGGCTAGCCTAAACTGAAGAGTAAAGCTCTAACAAAGAACAAAAATACTTCTGAAGGCTTAAGGTTCTCTTTTTGTTACATATGCTCTCATTCCTAAATATTAGCAAGGATCGACTCAGTCAATTAAGCCTCCAGCAATCTCTGATTCAGTATTTTCAGCGTTTGGACTTGTAACTCCTAATCTCTGGGAGTTTTCTCAATCATTCCAAAGACCTTGCACTTAAAAGCTATGGGTAGTCACAAAAGGGACCAGGTAATTAAATCTGCACTTGAGAAAGAGCGCTCCAGCAGCACTCATGATTCAAGGACCCTTAGAAGAGGCACAACAGAGTTGGAAAATATTATCCAGGAGGAAGATGGAGGCTCAGCAGAGGGTGGCAGAAAGGACAGCAAGTGGAAAGCTCATGCCAGCCAGAAGATGAGGCAAGGGGCATCCAGGAGCAACAAAGGGTTTCTTCCTCACTCCTGGACCTAAATACATCAAGCTGTAACAAAGACTTAAACATAAAATAAAGCCTGAATACATACAACTACAAATAGGTACAGGAGCTTGTGACCAGAGAACACTTTATATATAAAGTTTATTTATGGAAATATAATACTGCAGAACCAGGCATAGTGGTGCATGCCTGTCAGCTCAGCACACAAAGGCTGTCGGGATGGTTCCAGGTTCAAGGTCAGCTTCAGTTATAGAGTTTGAGGCCACCCTGAGTTATGTATCAAGAGCCTTTCTCAAAAACAAAACAAACAACCAAACAACCCTTAAAGCAAAGTCAGGAGAAAGTGAAAAGCACCGCCACATGTGAGTGAGCACTTACACTTACGGAGGGTAGAAATCTGTGCTAAAAAGGCAACCGGCAATATCGTCAGCCATGAAGAAAATCTAAATCACGGCGGCATGGAGATCTTGCTCTAATTATCAGAAAAGCAACAATGACCAGAATCACAAAGCCTTAGGGGGAGCCGTACACAAGGTCAATGTACACGGGAACGATGACATCCACCATAGAAAACAGAACGGAAGCTCCTAGACAGCGCGCTAACAGCAGTCAGATCCAGGCACGCATGCAGTGCACAGACAGGCACGCATGCACGACGCCCTCAGACAGAAAGTCTTTAAAATGTTTTTAAAGAAAGTTGCGATGTTGGGCACAGTGTCACAGCTGATCATCACCCTTGGGTTAAAGCCCTTATGCCTGGCAATGCCTTGCTCCTGCTGTCTCGTTCCCCTTTGCTCAGCCATCAGCCACACCGCAGCTCTTCCGCTTAGAATCTGGGCATTCCTTCACCTCTGGATCTCTCCACTGGCACTCCACTGGCACTGCAGCTGTCTCGGGCACTTCGGACTGAACTCGGGGCTTTGGGTATGAGTTTGGAGATTTCTCTGGCCACAGCCACCTCATCCCATTCACCCTCCAAGAGGGGCCTGTTATTTCCCTCTGACCATTGCACAGCTGGCCTAGAAAGCCCTTACATGCGAGGTTGCTCAATGCCCAGGTTAGCCAAGACTATCCCCAGGATTCCAAATTCAAGATTTAATTATATTCATTCCATTGTTCTCAGGCAGGAAAATGTTCAGCTTCTGAGCAACGAGGAGAATTTCTCTTTGATTTGAGTTTACTCTAGACTTCCACTAAAACCAAACCAACTCACTTGTGATGCCTTCCTGTGACCTAAGGCTTTTCTGCTTGATATTTGACTTTCCTGGGATGGAAAGGTCATGCATTTAAAGGTGAGCAGACAACAGACTTCACACACAAGATTAAAACGAACAGCGAGGTTTTGCTAAGGTGTGGCTCTCCTCTATTACTCCTCATTCTCAAAGCATTCTTTCTTTTTAAAAGAAACAGGCAGTTGGATAAAAATCTCAGTTGACTTTTCTGCTTAACAAATCCTTCCTTCAAAATTTTTATAAAACATGAAAGTAACACACACTCAATGCCTTGGCTTGGCGCTGTTTTATTCTTACATTGTAATCCTATTAGCACAATGGCAAATCCCCATGTTAACAATCACCTCCTTTGTATTGCTTCATGGAAGATTTTTTTAAAGATCTCTTCACCAATAATGGACATACTCAAGACTGTCCTATGCTTCTGAATCCCATTTGTTCCACGACCCCACAGGCTCACCCTACAAACCATATCTCATGACCACCAGCAGAGGATGGCCTTCAGGGTCCGGTTCAGTGTAGAGGCACTCACTTGCCCAGACTGAATGAAGCCTGGGCTTGATTCTTAGCACCAAAGAGAGGGAATACGACACCTAAGCTTACAGTGCTTTGTGAAACTTTTTATAAGGAAGCCTTCTACCAACTACATCTTCCCTGTGTAGACAGCCTGTTACAGTCTCAACAGTGCCAGAATACCCGTGATAAAGGCATAGCTAGCCTTCTTGATGAAAGAAAACATCAGAAAACTGGACCCACAGCTGTGTTTGTACAATAAGCACAATGATGATACTACTATTCACAGTTGATATACATTTGTTTTTGCTGTTATTGGGAGTAGTAGCTGGGAAGATTGCTTTCACCTTTCTGTTGCTTCGATAAAACACCATGACAACTTATATCAGGAAGGGTTTATCTGGGCTCACGGGTCCACCACAGACATGGTGAGAGGTATAGCAGAGGCAGGTACAGAAGCTGGAAGGGCAATCTAAGAGCTCATGTCTTGAACCACAAGCAAAAGGCAGAAAGAGCAAACTGGGAATGGCATGGGGCTTTTGAAACCTCGAAGCCACCTCTACACTAACACACTTCCTCCAGCAAGGCTATCCCTCCTAGATCAGTGCCACCAGCTGGGGATTGTGTTCATACCCGTGAGCCCATGAGAAACATTCTCATGCAAACCACAACAAGTTTATACAGATTCCAAAAAAGACATAAAGAAGATGAGGGGCTGTGGCAAATCCTACCCTCACCTATTAAAGCCACAGAACAATCAGTCAGACTTATTTGTTCCAATGTGACTGAGGTCACTGTAACCTCAGAGAAGTGAGGCACACTTAGGTTTAAATGCAATCAGTGTATATTTATTACCTACCCTTTCATTTGGTTCTTAACATACACGTACAAACACCTCCCAGTATTTCCCCTGATAATCCAGGATTCACTAATCCATAAAAACAGACTAAAACACAAAAGGACATTTAGGGGCAATAAAACGCTGACAGCTGGCACCTAGCAGAGATGTATGAACACAAACCCTCACACTGACTTCCAGATAAACACAAATTACAGCATGCACAACACATCACCTCCTCTTCCTGAATCCCAAGTAAAAGTGGCAGCAAGTTGTTATGGTTTTGTTTTGTTTTGTTTTGTTTCTCTATATAGCCCCGGCTATCCTGTAACCCACTAAGCAGATCAGGCTGGCCTTAAACTCTGCCTGCCTCTTTCTCCTGAGTGATGCCACCATGCCCAACTTGAAATGATTTAATTCATGAACATGTAGGAAAAAGAACAGTAAAGATAAGAGAGTAAGCCAGGCAAAGGGTGATTCCCTTGTACCTACAGAGGTGAATGGACTAGCCTGCAGGACCCTGAGAAACATACCCGGCACAGCTGCAAAGAAAAGCAAGATGTCAGAGCCCCATAAGCAGATTGATCAAAACTTTAAAAACACATAACTCTCACGCTAACAAAGGCCCCACGTGGCTTGGCTGTATGACCTTCAAGAGTCCTGGTTAAGATACCAGAAAACATGACTTATCAACACAAAGAATCTCCTACAGAGTACTTGACACTGCTCTCCAAACATATACACAGCTGCTCCTCTATTCCCTGACCCCCAAATATAGAGATGGTACAGTTTAGACTCTCCTATCCCTCGCTGTTAACTAACCTCCCCCTTAAGACCTAGGACTGTGGGTGGGGTGGAGGTAACCTCGGATCTTTTCCAGTTAGGGGAAACTCTATATAGAGAAAGTTGTGAGTTCGTGTCAGTGATGGGTTGGGGGAGAGGACGACAGAGACAGAGTGTTTCTGGTCTTAAAAGTAGGATTGCCTATGCAAGAACAGATTAAGTTATAATGTAACTTCTAAGCTAGATCCATACAGGTTGAAGTAAGAATTTTTTTCAATTTACTTATTTTTATTTTATGTGCATTGGTATTTTGTCTATATGTATGTCTGTGTGAGAGTGTCAGATCCTGGGATTACAAACAGCTGTGAGCTGCCATGTGAGTGCTGGGAATTGAACCCAGATCTTCTGAAAGAATATACAGTACTCTTAACTGCTGAGCCATCTCTCCATCCCAGAAGTTAGAAATGTTGAGAGTCTAGGCAGATAGGAACAGTTCTCTGAACTTTATACCTACCTGGCAAGTTTGCTGAGACCAAGGACTTGCTTGTTAGGAAGATAACCAATATGGACCTTCAGAGAAGAGAAAGATTTGTTACCTACATAAAGACACAGATAGCATTTTGTAACAATGCAAATAGATACAGAAAGACCATAGTGTACACACATGTAAGCTTATCACAGTGACAATGGACCTTTAAAACCTATGCAGCACACCTTTTATCCCAGCACTCAGGAGGCAGGGGCAGGTGGATCTCTGAGTTCCAGGCTAGCCTGGTCTACAAAGTGAATTCTAGGACAGCCATAGCTATACTGAGAAACCCTGTCTCAAAAAACCAAAAATAAAGTTGTAATGTTCCTTGCTAAAGTTAAATTCTTGATTTAAATCTGAAAAAGGAAAAAGGTATTCAGTAAAGGGGAAAAACAACCCCATGAGATCACAGTATAATCAGGAGACTCCTTTAAATGGCAGAAACTGCCTGTATAAATGTTGCTATTCCATGTGTCATGTAGCTTTACAAATCCACTCCTGAGCCCTGCAGGCATCTCCAAGTCCTTTTACTTTAGCTGACCCTTTTGAGAGCTCCATCATCATGACAGAAGAAAAAGGACACAGTCACCCCTAATGTCTCTTGAAGAACATGAATCTATGACCCGGGTTCTCATAGGACTTGCTAGGACACAAAGTATCTTAAAATGTATCACTGGCATCTTAAAATGTATCAATGGATGGAGAGCTGTGGTGTAAATGTTACCACTTCTTCGGACAAGAATTAAAGTATGAGCATGTATATCTTTAACAAGACTCAAAAGGTAAGGGGCTATTTGTTGGCAGTCACCCAAATTTAAACTTCCAATACAACTGCATCCTGAATGCCAGCATGAGCCAGTAGCACATGAACCAGTTAAACATTGTTCATACATTTATAGAACCCATGTAGTAGTACTTGGCATTATGCGTAAAGAGTTTGAGAACTGTCTTCCTGCTAGGCAGGAGGAAAAATCAGACCAGACACCAGAATCACAGAAGGAAGGCAGCGAGATGCAATAGCCAAGGCCTGAGGACAGGATGAAGTGCCTTGTGTCTAGACGAGTCAGACCACCTATCCTTTCCATTGTCCTGGACAAGAAGAGACTAACTTCCCATCCACAATAAAAGGCAAAGATGAGCAAAAAGGTCCATCAACATTAACCTGATGGCCATGAAGTCTTCAGCACTCTGAACTACTTGGGTGAGAAATGTTCAGCCTGATACTACAAATCTAATCTGGTTTTTAGGCAATACAGAGGCTGCCATGAACAAACTCAGCAGGCTAGACACTCTACAGAATAACCAGCCTGGGCTCTTCAATAGGAAGATGTGGGAGAATTCCAACTCAGGAGACATAGGATTGAACCTAGTTTCTCATGCATGCCAGGCAAACCTCTGAGCCTCTAACACCCTCAGCCTAACATGACTATGAGCTAGATCCTTCAGATAAACCAACAGTAAAAATCTTCTGAACCAAGTTGAAAAACTTGGGTTACTAATGTTATTTAGGACACACTATAAATGTCTGTCGTGGTTTGTGAATAAGAAAATATTTTACAGATGCATATTCATTGGTATTATGACTTATAAATATTTCAGAAATACTGATTAATAATTAATGCTATGTATATTGTATGCTATATTCTTTTAATATGTTGAAAGACTAATTGCTAACTTAACAAATTGGTTTTTCCTCTTTTTTTATCCTTATCTTTTACAGATAGTAGAAAATATCATAGAAGAAATAAAATCTGGGATTTGCCTTAATGTAACACCACAAGTGGCTATGTACAATGTAATGTGCTCCTGAATGGGGCTGGAGAGGTGGCTTGGAGGTTAAGAGCACTGTTTGCTCTTCCAGAGGTCCCAAGTTCAAGTCCCAGTAACCGCATGGTGGCTCACAGCCATCTGTAATGAGATCTGGCGCCCTCTTCTGGAGTGCGGGTGTACATGCAGGCAGAGCACCGTACACATAATAAATCTTTTAAAAAACAATGATGGTCCTGTATTGACAACTGCTGGTTGATGGGAGTATGGGACTCCATAGATAGATAGATAGATAGATAGATAGATAGATAGATAGATAGATAGATAGATAGATAGATAGATAGATAGATAGAAAGATAGACAGAAAGATAGACAGAAAGATAGATGAATAGAGTATACTGAATACTACCGAGGAAAATGCCAAGTGATGCTGGAATATTAAATTTTGATAAGTTCCCCACATTCCTGGGAGAGCAAATCGATACAACCACCTTAGAGAGCCAAAGGTCAGCGGGGAGAAAGGTCAATATGGGCATACCTCATGACCCTGCAGTACCACTCCTAGATACAGCCCCATAGCCTTGGCCGTCCTGGAACTCACTGTGTAAACCAGGCTGGGAAGAGAGGTTTATATATCCAAGTGCTGTGAACGGTGTGTGCCCCATGTCCACGCAAGCTACATGGTTACAGAAAACAACAAAAACACCCAAGAGCTGAACTGTGGTCTCTACAAGGCAATAATGTATAACAATGAAAATACAGGCATCTTTGTGTGTTGTGCTATTTCTTGTTTTACAACCATAAAAAAATAAGATATTTTAACAAAAAGGTGAAGCCAATATTAGTACTTATTAAAGAGAGCAGGCTTAACAGGACATCTCTTTGCTGCAAACATACATGTTCTCAAAGGTGCCCTGAATGACAACTGCATGACTTATGCTCCAGCTTGCATTTGATTCTCTTTTTCTAATATAAAGAAAAAGGGATAGAATCCAGTTAAAGCCACTAATACCATAACCTCTGGCTCTAGAAACTCTGCAGTCACCCTGCTCATGTCAGGATGTCAAGCTCTGCATATGTGGGTCTTGGATCAAACACTTCACTCAAAACACAGGGCAATGCTTTCCAGGGCAGTAAAAACTATCACTAAAGAGTGCAATTTTAGCCTGCCTATCATGACCTATAAACTGGGTATTAAAGATGAAAGCCTGTCCTGGTCCATCTTTGGGGTTTGTTCTGTTTGTTTTTGAGACAAGATCTGTCTGTGTAACATAGGCTGGCCCCAAACTCTCCATCTCAAGAGTGCTGATGTTATAAGTCCATGCCACCTCAGCTAGCAGGTTTTCCCCTTACATTTCCTTTGCTGTTGTTTTTTTGAGACAGGGTTTCTTTGTAACCCTGGGTGTCCTGGAACTTGCTCTGTAGACCAGGCTGGCCCCAATTGTCCTGCCTCTGCCTCTGCTGGGATTAAAAGTGTGCACCACCACTGCCCAGCTTAAATTTCCACTTCGGTTATAAGAGTCAAAAATTACCTATGTAAACTGTAAATCTTAAGAATAGTGAGAATCAGCTGATAAACTGAGCTACTAGGGGCTCACAGGGATTGAACCAACAACCAGGAAGCCTACATAGGACTGACCTAGACCCTCTGCACTTATGTTACAGTGTGTACAGTTATGTACAGTCTTGTGTGGGACTCTGAACAGTGGGAGCAGATGTCATTGACTGCTGCCTGCCTTTGGGATCCTTTCCTCCTACTGGGTCACTTTGCCTAGCCTTAATGGGAGAGGAGGCACCTTGTCACGGCTGCATGACAGGCCTGCGCTTTTCTAAAGAGAAAGGGAGGAGTGGATTGGGGAAGAGGGGAGTACTTATATATATTAAAACAGTTGGCAGTTTGAAATATGATTATCCTGATTTAAGATTTCCATTATTCTTTCTTAAATTATTAGGCAACAAGGAGAACCTTACCCTTCCCACAAACGGAACGAGGTGATGTTCACACATGGAAAACATATCTATGTCCTTCACAATCACCATCTCGTCATGATCCTCATCAAATATAGCATCATTCAAGACATCTGAAAACAGGAAAACACAAAAAACACAGAAAACACAGAAAAGCCACTTTGGTTAAATAAAAAAAGATAATAAATACTTTTAAACCCTTACAAAAACATTCAGAAAATAAAAATTAGTTAATTTTCCCTATTAAGTGTATAGTCTTTAACTAATTAAAAAAAACCTGGGACACTGTTTCATGAGAAATGCAGACTTCGAAGTGTATTTGCATCATGAGCTGAAGGAAGGGAAGAGAGGAGACGATATGGCAAAATGAATGGCTGTTCCTGGAGGTGCAGACGCTTGTCACTCTTTCCACCTGCACCTTTCTAACGGATATGCACAAAGCCACCTAGAAGAAAAACATTAAGCCTTAACTCTGACTTCTCAGGCCAGATCCATACACCTGTAAACTTGGCCCCTATTATATCCAAATAATTTCCTACACTTTGCAAAATTCTCCAAAGTTATTGTGGGAAGCATCAGACTTAGGCTAAGTGGTTGCCTTCCTGAAGACACAAATCTGCCTGTGTATGCAGTCAGAGGTAAGCCGTGACTCTCAGACATAGGGCCAGGCAGACAGGATCCTTTCTGTTTAAAGACTGTGCTTAGTAAGTGTCCCTTCCTCATGGGTGGAGGTTAACAGAGGGTGCCCAGGGGAGCCCTGAGCTCGCTTAACATTCTGTCACAGCAAGAGCATCCTGTCCTGGCTGCAGAAAGATAAAGGGACCTAAAGCCACAGCCATCACCGTGATAGAGCCATGGTGGATGCCCTAGTGTTGTACATAGGGGCCACGTGTCATTGTCACATGAGAAGAGGTGCTACACGGGCTGTTTTCTCACTTCTATAAAACAGATGCATGCACAGGAAGACCCTCATCTCCCAGCCTGGCAGACCAGATAACAGCAAGACAGCTAGTGTGTAACTGCAGGGATTCCGGGAAGAGCCGCTCCACACAGTACAATGAGGCGAGTGTGGGGAGGCGAGCACGGCTCGCGGCTGCCCACAGCTACTTCCCCCTCAGAAAGGCAGGCTCTGAGTCACACCAATGTGCAAATGCCCACCCCCACTGCCTGACCTTCAGGAGCTCTGCTACTGAGTCATGCGGAAGCCTGTTCTCAACAGGCTACTCGGAGTCGCCTTGAACTGCGTGACAGGAAGAGTCACTGGCATGGATGTGCGCAGGGTTTAAATGCCCCGGCCAATGGGGATGAGAGCGGCCCAGGGAGGAGCCCTGTCGTTCTCTAAGTCAACACCCCTTTCCGGCAGCAGTCTCCTGTGCAGGGCGCCCTGCCCTAACCTTCGGTGGTATTTCTGAGAGCAGTTTAAATATAGCTCCCTGCTGTTCCCAGGAGCGCCCTGCATTTCTCCAGGAGTTCAATATCATAAGGCCATGCACAGCTCACTAAAATCCTTAACCACTTGAGAAATATGAATGAGAGTGAAAACAAAACAGTGTTTCTAAATGAACTGAAGAGAACCCTGGGGATGTCAGACATTCACTTTCCGTGACAAAGGAAACCTTCGAAGTTCTCACAACTACAGAGAGCACATCAGTCAGCCTCAAGCTAGGCTGAGAAGGCACATGGTTCTTTTACCAGCTGGTGCTGGACCTTAGGCAAGGCACACAGTGGGGGAAACAGCATCTACACAGAGGAGAAAGTTGGCAGATCAGGGGTGTTTCCGCCTTTTCTAGGGCATAATGACATTGGATAACGCCTGTGTGGTATTACCCAAAATTTATAACTATAGTCCAATCATCAGAAAAACTGAGGACTATGCTACACTATAAGGTCACTTTGCCAGCCAGGCGAGGCGGTGCGGTGCCACCCGAAATCCCAGCACTCCGGGACAGAGCAGCCGGATGGCTCTGAGGTCCAGGTCAGCCTGGTCTACAAAGCTGTAGACAGACCGTTATATCTTTTCTGCCTTAGGATGTATGTCTACTCCAGGCTCCAAACCATCTCACTTCACGTGTGAGTGCTGGAAGGCACACCATTCTCGTTCCCAAAACAATGAAAACAGAACAATGAACCCACCCACACCCACCCACACCCAAAATATCACTTTGGTAGAGTTTTCTTTCTTTTATTCTCTTCATTTTTTAGAGACCAGGTCTCCTAAGTTATCCAGGCTAGTCTTGAACTCCTAATCCTCCCAGCTCGGCTTCCCAAGTAACTGGGATGATAAAGAGTGCACCATTACGCATGGCTCAATGATATTCTTTTGAAAAACATTTTAAGGTCATAAAAAATAACATGAAAAGGCTGTGAAAGTATCAGAGCGGAGACTAGCGAAATAGGATAGCTAAGTGCAACTAAAACTGAAATGGGAATCTGAATAAAGCGTGTCGTTAGCGACATCACGCCGATATTGACTTAAGCGTTAGTCACTGTACCACACTGTGGCAGGGGAGAGGTCTTAATTCTGTGGTAGAAGCCGGTAAAATGATGTGCGAAGACCATCTTTGCAATTAAGTCTAAAATTACGTCAACATTTAAAGCGGGATGGTCTCCAACCACTGCGATGCGTGAGCAATGGATTGCGACGCAGCGGAAAGCACGGTGGACTGGCGGGTCACAGGCTGAGTCTCTGAGCGGCAGGCAGCCAACGAGAGCGCACGGCAGCGCCCAAGAAGGCTGGTGTCTTGTCGGCGCAGGCATGCGCAGTCCGGAGACTGCCCAGGGACACGCCCTCGTCCTCGGTGGGAGACTCCAGGAAAGGCAGAAGTACAGTAGTAGAAGGTTGCAAACGGCAGGAAGAAGCTTTTGGGGCGAGTGATTAAAAGCAGCCTCCCGTGTGACGTGGCCATTTATCCCCCGAAAGGAGCAACAGAAGGCTAAATCACAAAGCTAATAAAGTAATTAATAAAAGGCTCACAGCTGGGTGGCGGCTACGCTCGCCTTTATCTCCAGCACTGGGGAGGCAGAGGCAGGCAGATCTCTACGAGTGTGAGGCCAGCCTGGTCAACAGGGTGAGTTCCAGGACAGCCAAGGATACAGAGAAACCCTGACTTAAGAAACAAACTACAACAAACAAACAAAATTAAATAGACACAGGGATCACAAACAAGAAAGAGGGGAGCAGCTGGAAAGGAAGTGTTTAAATACAAAGCCACATTTTGGATAGTTTCTTTCTTTAAACTAATCACGTGTGCAGCGACGGGGCATGTGCACACGTGATTGCAGATTGTGTGGGGCCACATGAAGGTACTGACACTCCCCTGGAGCCGGAGCCAGAAGAGCTCCCAGTTGAGCTTGGGCCCTCTGGAAGAGCAGCCAATGCCCTTGCTCACTGAGCCACCTCTCCAGCCCCTAGTGTGCGGTTCTTACTTTGAGTCATACACGTTTACAAAATCAAACCAAGAAGAAACCTACTCTTCCTCATGAGGCTTAGTGCGCCTGTAGAACTGAGACTGAGTATGTTGCCTGTATCCCATTTCATTAAAATGGATCCAGACTCTAAACTTGACCTCACCGAGTCATCTTTCTTCAATAATGAAGCTTCCCAGCTATATTTACTTATGTTTTGCTCTCACATATCTGAAAGCCACCATCTGTGGATAATAAGAACAAAGCTTTATCACAGATTGTTTTAATTTCCTGCCTGTTATCAGCAGCAAGAAGGTAACCCTGGAAACAGGGTTCACAGCATCCCCTCCCAACTGTCTGTTAGTCATAACCACAAAGGAAACCAGAGCAGCACTTGTTGGTTTTAGACAACAAAGCGCCACAGCTGAGCAGCCACCCCTCCAGCTTTCCATCTGCTAGGACCCTCCTGAAGGCCCATAACACGATGCTCCCTAAGCATCCTTGGAAGCAGATTCTGCCGGCCCCTTCCAGTGGCTGTGTTAGAACACAAACTGCTGGGTCCCACCCACTGTCTCTGTAGGTCTGAAGAAAAGGTCTCGGACGCTACAGTGCTGCCCCATCCATTCCGAAGCTCCTGATCTGAGGCGTCTGCGCTGCTACACAGAACTGCTAGATGCTCCCGCGCAAATATGCACAGGCACATTTAGGACAAGCGGGGACCTGTTTCTGCCAAGGAGAAAGGCAGCTGGGAAACTCCTATCAGGGAAGCTTGTCTTTACTGTCTTCATTATTTGGGGGACAGGAATGGTATGCAAGCCCGGGGTGTCACACTTGATGCACCTTCCACCATCCAAACCTGATGAATGGCGGCTTCAGAAGATAGAGCGCACCTCCATCTTAAGGACAGGAAGGATATAGCAGGGTCTGCATACAGTTTTTCCGAGAGAGAGAGAGAGAGAGAGAGAGAGAGAGAGAGAGAAGGAGCCCCCGGGGGGGGGGGGCAACACAATCCAGGGCATGGGGATCCTTTGCTCTTGCCCAGAATTTAATCACCCTAAAGGTACCAAAGATCTATGCCATTTGAGGGAAAACGTTTGTATCACAGGCCCAAACCCTCCCGGTGCCACAGGCTCCATCCTCAGGCTTTGGCATTTCCACAGCGCCCTTGTAACACTACACACCAACACAGGGCCAAACCCCAGACTCCTTCAGAATTTAGCTTGGGAGCGATTCCCTGTATCGATTAACAGTGCAGACATCTGAAGTTTCCTCCCCTCTACTCCTGCACAGCATTCAGGCACACTCTGAGTGTCAGCCTTCTCTTTATACCCCCAAACTGTTTTAAGGTTCTCCCTCTACTCTGTACAAATACAAAGCCTACTTACTTAACCCTTCTCTCAAAGCCTGTCCCAGTTGCTCCTGCTGAATGACCAGAATCAGTGTTCTACAGCACAATTTGTGAGCTCCATGGAGTCTATGGGCCGGAAAATGAGACAAGGCCCAGGGCAGGTAGGTGTCTGCCACTCTTCTCCTTCTAGAGTCAACTATGGGCTTTCCAGTGTTTCAGCTCTGTCCCAAACACCAACAAGGTCTCTCCAAAAAGCCAAGGCTGTTGTCCTCAAAGTGTCTCCCATTCTTAAGACACTTTCCAATTAAGCCAATTCCCTGGCTCTCCCTCAGCGTGGAGGGGGAATGTTTTAAGCATGAT